GGCCGAGTATACATGAAAATTTACACAAACTCAATTTATAAAACATCAAAGGCCAACTAGTGAATAAGCAGAAATGCATCTTTCTCTTGCCATTTTACTAAAAAAACTGATTAGATCTAAGCGTATTCCTAGTTAAGTGTTAAATGTCCATCACCCCTCTTTATCGCTGCTTTACATTGTTGTTAACATTAAGATAAGCGTAATAGCTGTAACGATCGTCGTTGATAATGTTACTGTCTCATTGTCATCTCAATCGTTATCGATATAACTCAATTTAAAAAAAAGAACGCTTCTATCTTGCATCGTTTTGTCTCTAATTGCTTTTTTCATGAGTATGTGTGTAAATTTCACAGCCTGGTTTATTAAAGCACGACCAATTTTTTTGTCCAGTAGATGTGATGCATAGATAAAAAAGAAATGATCAGCTGAAGCGAGCAAATCAATGAAAACAAGGTATGTGAAAGGAAAAAAAAGGAAAAAAAGTATATCGAAAAAAATTACCCAGTTCTTGCCTCTGAAAAACAAAAAATTTCTTCTTTGCTTGAAAATGATTATGAGAAAACAAGCGGATTAAAAAATAGGTGGAAAACACAAACAGAATTCATTAACAAAGGAGTGTGTTTTTTCCATACTTTTTTCTGTGTGCACTCCTAAAACCTTTTCTTCAACGGTGGAAAAGGAAATAAGAGAGCAAAAAAACACTTCTGCTTACTATTCTTCAACTGTTTAAAAACTCCCGGAGCTGTCAAAGGTTTGTACCGTAAACTCGCCTGCGGAACTAGACCATCAAAGGTAAAAAACACGACAAAAACATATAAACGTAGAGAAGAATCGCGATTGTCAAATAAAGATTTCAATTTATGAACAAGTAAACTACACAATGACCAATAAGGCTTTTAGCAAATGCATAGTTTAACCATTTTGGCCGAATAGCTCTTTGAACTGCTAAATCGTAATAAACAGAGAAATGCAGTGAACTTCTGATGCGTTGACATCATCGGAATTTATTGGTTGACCAAGAGTTTTGTCCCACTAGAACTGTAAGTTTCATAAGTGGGTTACGACCTTAAATTTATGACTAGCTTCTAGATCTGGATTAACCCATCCCCAACCGCTGCAAAAAACTGCTTTCAAAAAAAAAAAAAAAAAGAAAACCATCTAGTGTGTGCCCTAATGAAAGGTTTCACACAGTAACTTCAAGATAACTATAGGGGATTAGAAAGCCTTTTCATCACTTCCAACGTTCCTTCTCCTGGCAGCTTTTGAACCCTGACTGTCTACCAAATTTCATAATTAGTTTGAACAAGCACAGAACAATTTTAAACTCTAGAAAAGAGGTAAAGCACTGTACAGAATAAAATACTGCTGCGGGACAAAACAAACGTGATTTTACTGACTGACGGCCTCAGCGCGTTCACTGGCTTGTTGTCTTGCCGGTGGGAGAGTTGGTAAAATGGACGTTGAGGGGAACGGGGCCAGAACGGAAGGTGACAACCCAACAGAGCTTTAATACGCCCAGCCTTCCTACCGCTCTTGCTCTACTAGTTCTTTCTATGCAACCTCAACTTACAAACCCCACTAGTATTTTGACGTAAGGGCAAAACGTCAGCTTCCCATAAATCCACTCCCAGTTTCTGCGTCGATTGCATTGTAGTAGAATAGGTTTGCCTGCATTTCTTTTGTACCATCCTAAGGTGGAAGATATCGACTTCTGGTATCATGTTTCCTTTTTGAAGCAAGTAATAAAGGTGCACTTTTGGCCTTATGAGCTGAGACGAAGAGAGATGAAAATTCAAAATAAGTCTCTGCGAATGGGTTATTTTTTGTCTGTAAATTATAGGGCATTCGGTAAGACGCTCAAAATTCCCTTTCTATTTTGAAATAAGGCAAGAAAAACTTTCGCTTACAGGACACGAAGTTGTGTATGTAGTAAATGGTTTTTGTCCGGAGGAAACCTGCATCAACCACTGCCACGAGTTTCATGCCGAAAACTACTTTATTTGTATCACCTGACGCACTTCCTGAGTGCCACTTAAGATTCATGTCTTCTTTATTCCACATTGCCCTCAAGAGGCAATCTCCGTTACCCCACTAACCTCACATCTGCATGTTTAAACACTTCTTATCTGTGATGAAACATCGCAACCTCCAACTAGTTTTCACGATTATACTGTATACTGTTTTATCTACCGATTTCTCTGCTTTACTTTCTCCAGAAGTGGAACCATACCATGATGACTCATTGTTATCTATAAATCTTCAGCATTTAAATCAAAAAGGATTTTGAATTTTCCAGTCGAGAATTGGCATAATTCACGTATCAGCTGCTTGAAGATACAACGATAGCGGTGCCGCAGCTTACGTGGAGAACGTGTCGCAGCTCCAAATATATATATTTAAGACTGCAAATCTGTGAAGATTATGAAAAATTGATGTTTTTGCTCTTCAACAAGATATAATTTAGCCAAATTTCTCCTGCAGCTTGTATATGACTCTCATAAAAAGTCTGGCTAAAATATTTGCTGCTGAACGTACGATAAAACTGCTGTCTCAAAATTGAGATACTCAAAAATGAGCATTCTATTTGGTATTTTAAAACTCACGAAAAAAAAATTTTTTTTCAGAAAAATATTTGCAGGCAGAAGGAGTTTTTCTCCACCAGCCTAATCTTAAATTCTAATGCAGAGTTGAACGGACTCTGTAACCAATAAAGAAGATTGCGGCTGTCCGTCTCTTTTGAGATAACGATGCTTATTGTTTTCTACAGTTATAAAAAGTGCAGTATCCAGCACCCATCTTTAAGAATGTATCCAAACCTGTCGCAAAATGTTACTCTCATCAGTTTCAACAACACTTTAAGCAAGGTTTTTGGAACAGTCGTCAAAGAAAATTTTTAGTTGTTTATTTTGCAGTAGCATTTATGCCCTGTTGGTTGTAGTGGCCGCAGCAAATGAATGACAGTAGCCAATGAATGCCAACTTGTAAAGATTTACAAAGCAGCTTGTTAGTGCCGTAAATATGAGTAGGAAGACACTTTATTTTTAAATTTGTCGGAAATTGGGAATATGTAGTTTACATTCTCATTCTGGTCTTTCCAATTTTTTGTTTAATTACTTAGTTAATTTGTAAAAAAACGTATGCCATTTTTGCCTTCCAATCTTTAAAGTTCTTCCCGCATCTTTAAAGGCTTTCCTCTTACTTAAAAAACCTGAAGTCTTTCCTAAAGCACATGAGAGCTTCCATCCTTTCGAACTCCTAAACAGCTGTAGGCAGCTTTTTCTTAGATGTAAATTGTTTATCTAATTTAATTACACAGTATCTCTTGGGAAGTCTCTGTTTGATGGGGACTTTGAGGATGAAAATTAGTTTTTAAATTTCCTCTTTCTGCAACTCCTGCAAATGTCAGTCATCAATTAGATCTGTCAATTCTGTTCTGAGATATATCAGGTATAAGTCTGGAAGTCCCGTTTGTATGAGTAGCAATTTCCCAGAAGTATCCAGGCTACCACTTCAATACAGCCTAATTTCTGGAAATTTCTCTGCAAGGATAACGGTATTCTTATTAGTGACCAATTATAAGTAACACCTGCTGCTATTCACTTCAGTCATTTCTCTAATTTTTTTTCTTTAAAGCATAACAACCGTGAATATGTTTTAGAACTGCAAACAACCTCTATGAAAGTAAAAAGAAAAGCGACTTCGATGAATTCAATTGTTACAGCAATGACTGATAAAAATATAAGTAAACTAAGACAACCCCGCATTAAATGACGTCCGATTTAAAGTCAAATCCCAGATTGCTGATAAATTTCAACTCTATTAAAATTTTACAAGTTTATTAGCTTCACAATGAAAGCGCATCTGCCATACAGCATAGCGGCGCTCAACCGCTACGAAAATTGTGACAATTAATTTTTGGCAAAATTAAAGGTGGGTTCTTCGGAAACTTTGTCCGAGAATATTTGTTGTTTTATTTCATTCATTTAGTTTTTCTTGAAGCTGAGATGTTTATTTCTGCAACGAGCTAATTAACGCGAGTTTCTTCTAAACAAAAAAAATAATGGTGCAAACCACGTCTGAACACAGTTACAAATTCCATATACCTTCGTGCGCTACAACTCTTAGCATGGGGAATGATGCCTTAAGTACACAACAACACGTCTTCTATCCTCGCTTACGGTCTACTAGTAAACCCTTAACCCACGAAATGATAGGCAGAGTGAGTGCAAAGCAATCATGGCCTCCAGTGCAAAAAGATGCTATCTGAATCCCACTCCAATGCAAAGTAAAAAATCTGTCAATTCAGTAACTGTCAAACGCATGCCGCTATTTGTTTCTTTTTCTTTCGAACCATCTCAGGCCCGGCTCTCAAAGTACCTCCAAGCAGACACATGCTTAATTTTGTTACCTTTCCCTCGAGATAAAACTATCCAGTCAATTTTGACCATCTTGCCATCCCCGTAAACAAACTGGGTGCCATCCAAAGCAGTTAGTGCATCCTTCCAGTACTCAAAGTAAACAACGACAGTGACACTGCTTGCAGTACCACTGGTGTGCCGCCACATACCTGACGTAGTTTACTCCCACGCCTGCAGACTAACTTTGACGCAGCAGCACAACGTATAGACTACTCTAACACTTAAACGGCACTCTTTTAGGCAGAAGAACCCAAGCAATGTACTTCAGAATAGTAACGCGAGGTGCGCTCGAATGTTTCAGAGCCTGCTTCTAAAATAAACTGCGATAAATTAAATACAATTTTACAAATGTGTTCGTGTTCGTTCCCTTTCCCGTTCATACATATATAAAAAATTATATATATAAATGAATATACAAATATAAATATATAAATATGAATATGAATATGAATATAAATATAAATATAA